AAAAATAAAATTCTGTAACACCACTCTATCTGCAATATCCCATCATGTTAGAGAATGTCACACAATAAAATGAAATAATACAACAATAGTGGAATATCAAACAAGCATGAAAAAAAATAAAGATAAAAGAAGCACTCTACATTCACCTAACTGATAACACACTTAGTCAACCTAGCACAGAAGTCAATAGCATCTAAATACTCACCTTGCTAATTTTTTGTTTTGTTACATAAAGGGCTATCTTCACATATTCATCTCTAATGTTTTAAATGATACATTAGAGGAAAGGAAGCATGTCAACAGCTCTTCTTTGATCAGATAGTGGTATTCAACCATCTCTTATAATGCACCTATTGCCCAAAAGTGTGGAGTACATTTTTGCAGCAATGGGCCATAAAACATGAGCCCTTGAATGCATAGCTGAGCATGCTAACCAGTAGGTCATGATCAACCATATTTAAAACATTCAAATAATCAGTTGATGCAAGTCCTAACTGGGGATACCTGAAAGGAGTGAATAGTACAACTAGTAAAAAGACCCAGGATTGAATTCCAGCTCCTAAGACCACAAACACAGTCCTACTCAGGACTTCCAACAAGATAGCAGCAGATTAGCACATGAAACATAGGACATAGACTAGTTAGTCATTAGCATCTAGTGATAAAAAAAAAAGGAACTAATTAATAATTAGACTTATATTAGGTGATTGTGTAGGACATAAAAATGAAAATGCCTCAAGTACATAAAATATTACAGGTAAAATATCTAATACAGTTACCACATGGAAATATTACCTGTAGCATCAATGACACACATACAGACACTGCAACAGATGCTGCTATACACCGTAGATCTGCATGAGTAGCTTGACAAATGCGTACAGAGTTTGATACTGCTTCTTGTAGGTCATGGAATCGTGGAATGCCTGCAATAATTGAAAGCTCCAAAATGAGCACTAAAAATTGCAAGAAACACAATAAATATATGTTGATAGAAGGAAATAAAAACAAGGTAATAGAACAGTCCCAATTTCAATGTAAGACTCATATTTACACATAAAATAAAAAAATATTAGTCTATAATTAATATTTTGTCATTAAATTGGAATATATTTTTTGTCTGTAGTATCACTGCTCATTCATATACATACATATGTACAATACATTCATTTTCTTTCTACTTGAAATCTTAAAGAAGAATTGTGGCCTGATCTTACTAAAGCAAACTATAGTAATACAATGACTAAAAACTGAATTTGCTTTTCTGTTAATACATTCAAAATAGTTCAAAAGTATTCAAATTCTTAAAACAAATGAACAAACAAGGTTTGAAATATTTTTACTTTGCAAAATGTCTAGTTAACAATTCTTTGTGTTGTAGAATTATTCTCATTAAAATAAACTTGTATCTCAATAATACCTATTTTTGTGGTGATCTTGTTGGCTGTATAGAAATCTTGCACTTTTTACTTACAAATCTTAAAAAAATGAATATGTATTATTCATCATGTGTAGTACATTTAAAATTTTTTTTACAAAATTTCTAAATATTAATCTTTAATAAAGTAATTATCTTAAAAAGAAATACTATGTAAGGTATCAAATTTTTAATAATTATAAACTGCAAATCATAAGCATTTCTATTTCTTACCTAAAATAACAGCTCTAGAAAGAGCCCCACTGTCAGAAAAGGTGTTGGAGTCTACAGATATCGGTGAGGAGCTGCCATTGTAGGAGTTAAAACAGAGGTTGTTTTGGAGCAGCTCAATAGCTGCTTGATGGGGATTTCTGACATAGTTTTCTTTCTGAAGAGCCTAATGTTATAAAATACATATCACAATAAGTGTTATGCATATCATTAACTGATTTCTTTATACTAACTTTTTGGATAGAGAGAGAGAGAGAG